TCCTCGCTACCTTATTTTGATTCTTGAATTGACCTGTAGATACTTTAACACGGTCGTTATTACACGGTGTTAGTTTCAACACAACGCGATTCAAACTGAACAACTGTACAACTTGTACTTTGTAGAAGTGATAGTGTGCTTCTAAGTTAGACAGGAACTTTTTCCATAAGTAAACAACCTGTTGAGTATAAACTACATTCAGCCTTGTCGCATCAGTTTTACCAAAACCGGACGATTCCTTTGAGTGTTTCTAAAAGGAAGACGTTTTTAGATTTAAAGTCAACGTTGTTTTCAACGATTAATAGTTGATAAATAATTAATAAGTCTCCTTAACTATTTTCCTGGTCAAAACCCCAACCCAATTTTTACACCTATTAGATGTACCGGATTTATCAAAATCAAAATTAGTCTACTCGTTTTTTTAAGTGATTTCCATTTTTATGTTCCCCCCCCCCCATTTGAGATGCACCTTATTAGGTTTAAGCTCAGTAATAATAAACAATTGTAATTTACTAAAAACAAATTACTTAGGATAAATCACAACCGATTCAATTGAATAAAAAATCACTTTTAGATATTTTAACTTGCAAGTATTAACTAATTGCGATTTAATACAATTTTGTAAAATATTTATAAATTTTTTTTTTGCTATTGTATACATTAAATAAATTAACAAATACCTTTTTTATAATTATTGATATTCCTAAAAATTTAATAGTACAAGTTTAATGTTAAATATTTTTTTTTTTTGGTTAATTGTCAAAAGTTTGTATTGTGGATATTTATTTTGGTATGTTTTATGGCCATAAGTATTATACTGATGTATTAGTACATATACTATATATATATATATATATATATATAATACATGATATTATATTATACATATAATTTCTTTCTTTGTGTGCTGATAAAATTATTAGTATACCTACATGAGTTCAAATAGTTTAAACGTTTTTTAAAGACCCCATTCAAATGTAGAGTAAAGAAAAAACATGTCGGCAACCTGCAATTAGAAAGATAAAGTTTTTTTAAAATCTCAATGAGATTTTTAATTATTATTTTTTATTTTGCGTCCTGCGTCGTGTATAACCTAATGGAAAACACAGATAATCATTTAAAAAAAAGCTCATATTATGTATGAAAATGCGCAATATACTTTTATAATAATTAACGATTATTATTGGATATTTTGCAGAATATAAAATGTTACCCAATAATAAAATATTAATACAATTTATTCACGTATTTATTTATATAAATCGATCTTTGTACGATTAGCAATGTTTTTATTTAATTAGTTATTAAAAAGATACTAATAAAATTATGAACGTTACACTTTTTGCGGGTCACACGCGGCGTTTGATTTCAAGTTTTATGGTTAATAAATGTTTTGTAATAAAATATTTTTAAAAATATATATTTTTTATTGTATCGTTTAAAAATGCACATCTTGTAAGATGAAGAAAGTAAGCTGAAATAAACCGGATTTTTCTAATATAAGACTTTTTTTTATGTATATTTTTGGTTACATTTCGATCTACTCTATCCGAACTTTTTACAATCACAATAACTATTGAAAAACTATTAATATTTATTGAAAGGCCTACAAAAAAAAAAAAAACTACTTGTAGTACAATGACAATTTTAATTATAAAATATAATCAGTCAATCTCGAATATCAGAATAAAACTTTGTCGAAAATCTAAACGTTTGATACTTCCAACCCGTTCATAATTTATTAAACAGAGTTTATTAACAAAACGATTCTAAATGTATGATTATTTTATATTTATAAACATTTCTTTCAGTCGTTTGACAATAATGAAAAAAATTAGCACATTCTCAATTAACAAGAAAACAAATAGGTATAATATACTTATTGGCTTTTTTTCCGATTTTGATTTTTTTTCATACTACATTCATACTAGGAACTAAAATTAATACAATTTCTAACTTTCTCGTTTTGTATGATATTAAATAGGTGCTGACCTTGCGGTCTTAACGGTTTCAATCGTTAAATATTTATAAAAATTATTATTATTATTTTATTACTAACCGTTATTATTTTCAATCATAAAATTATCGTTTATTACAATTTTTTCCACACTGCAATCATAACATGATTGATATTAATTGTGAGCTACGATATAATAGTATATAAAAATCGAGAAAACACTATAAAACAGATTTCTAAGTAATCATAGTGAATATATACATAAACGATCAGTCCGGCAGTTTTCCAATAGTAATAATAGAATAGGCTAATAACATGATTAACTTGAACGTTTTAATTTTTTTTTTTAATACATCTTTCACCAATAAAAATATGTATAAAAATAATTATTTTTATACTTGGACAATTTATCATCCTCGGATAAGATAAACCTATTATATAGATATATATATTTATTTTTTTTGGCTAAGACATTATACAAATAAAGTGGAAAATATACGATAAAAACACAACAAAAGCTATTAATAAAATAACAAACACGGTCACCAATTAATGGTAGAAAAAAAAAATTTTTTTGAATGAATAATTATATTATTATTTCATCGGTTTTCAAATGGAGTAATGTCATAGGCGGAAATTATTGAAATCCAAAACGCATGTGACAAAACGGTTTTTACAATCTTAATTGAAAAAAAAAAAAGTTAGTATGGTGACTGAAATTCAAATAAAATTTTATGTTGATTACATTATTAGCTTATTGTGAACAAGAAAAGAAACAAAGTGCTACACACTAATAGTGAGAAGATAGAGAATTGTCTTGGCAATAATAAAAGATAATATACAGATAGATCAGATTTCATACATGAATTTGAAAAAGTCTGTGTGCATTACATCTTAAAACACGTCTTGATTCTTAATTTGAACTACAAGATAGAAAAAATGTGTTCCTAAGCTCATTACAAAAAAACCTTGTCAAGAAGATGTAAGTTATGAATTAAAATATTTAAGTTTGTTACAATTTGTCCACATTTGTATGAAAATAATTCAACAATTAGACCTATATTATACCTACCAATTGAACATATTAAATGGATCCGACTCGAAATAAGTGTTATTTACATTTTGAGAATATTGGTATAGTTTACAATCGAGTTAATTGTAATTAAAATCTACTAGACTTGACTCGAGGAAAGTTAGGTTAATGAGAAATGTATTATTCATATTAATAAAGGTCACATGTAGGTACAGCCAAATAATGTTATGTTGTGCCCATACACATGTGCGTTAGATTATTAATATATTTGTTTAGTCAAAATACTGGTGAATATGAACACAACATGATTGTAACACACCAGTCCAACAATTATTTTTAAAAACGTATTTATTTTTCAACAAAAAGAAAAACTCACAGCCTTTTTAAATTATCTGACTAAAAAAAAAAATTAGTTTTCCAGTAATTAGATAATAATATTACTGCTAAAATTGTAAAATCAATAGTGATGGATAAAAAATTAACCATTAGAGCTTTACCTAATCCGAAAGACTTAGGCCTAATGTTATAATTGAATTACCAAAAAAAAATATTGTTTTACTACTATAAACAAAAATATATATATATATAAATATATATCTAATAAAACAAAAACAAACGATATTTTTTTTCAATTGTAAAAAGTGGCGCAAGTGATATTGTTTATTTTTATTTTTTTGACAACTTAAATATTTTTAATATAAAATAAAAATGTAAAAGTAATCTCTTTCACTTTAAAGTGAATACATAACTCTGTTTACATTTTCACTTACGTCAAGTAGTTTTATTAGAATTTATTATAATGTTAAACTTAATTGGTTTTCTACTGTTACGACAAAAAATTAAAAATTAAAGTTATAAAAAAATGATCATAAAATATAAGAACTAATAAAAAAATATTCTGTCACCAAATGTCTAAGTAGTAATTCGTTATTTTGACATTTTTCATGATTGACTATTTATTTTTTTATTTTATTCAACGAACAAAAGTAAATAACTAACATTATATAATTAAAATCATTCAATAACTATTAAAAATTACCGATAGTAATTGTATTTCTATAATATTGCATCTATTCCCCATTTGTTTACAATTTTACCCCGAAACATTGTATCCTAACAGTTTATTAGAAAAAAATATTACAATTTTGGCAGTGCAATGACAATAATTATTAATACAAACCATTGAAAACCGACCGGACCCCCGAAAACTGTCGATTTTGAAAAGAGACTATTCGATATTTAAAACCTGACCACCTTAGGTTGTATTATCATTACAGATTTCAAACCCATACAGCAGCAAACCAATATTAACACTTTCAAAATAGTATCGAAAATGTTGATACTAAAATTGACTTGTAATCGGCTGATTTTCTGTCTTTCATCAGCTAATTATCTGACCAATCATTTCTTACTCAGTTATCCATCAGCAGAGTTAAAGTCGATGAAATCAAATAATTGTCTAAAAACGTTTTTATCCAAACGATCACGTTGTATTTATATTTTTTAACGTCAATACATGCTGGAGTTTTGTTCAGAATTTCCATGACATTTCGCAGCAAGATCAAAAATGTACCAGTTGTTGCCTTCTTATCACTCGTTATCTCTTATCGCCCCTCGTTATCTCTTGTTGCAATCGGGGTTTTCGGAATATGTTCGCCTTCGGTATGAAATATTCATCATTAATATTATGTTACTCCTTTTGAAAAATTAAGACTTTTTTTCTTTCTAATTTTAATAATAGTAGGCAACGACGATTTTGCCTTAAACGTTTTTCGTCAGCACGTCAAGCACCTTACCATAACAAATTCGGTCATCCCGCCAATCTAAACACAATGACTGGACGACCGGTTGCGCGTATTACATGACTTGAGGGGTCATTAATAGATTAATGATCAATCGTAAAAAAAAAACCTAACCTTGCTCACTTTCTCCAAACAGATGTCTTACAAAAATCATTACAAACCACACTATAAAAACTATGATATAACAGAATAATATTATACATTACCGTTAAGTCTTTAAATCGCTTTTATTGATTCATACATCATCTCTTTATTCATATATATAATTTTATGGTAAAATCGATTTTCTTACCAAAAAAAAAAAAAAAACATTCATTGACTTGTTAATACATAATAATAATAATAATATATAAAAGAAATCTTAGGCTATTCACATTTACACAAAAAAATAATAATAATATGTTAGGTTTATGCACCATTGTGGAAAGAGTAAAACATATTACTGAACATTTTTTTTTTAGAAAAGACTACGGGAAAAACAAATTAGTTATGCTACGATAGTGTAAAAAAATTGCAAAAGAAAATCAGATACAATTTTTTTTTTCAAATCATACAAAAAAACCATTTATATATTTATAATACGTTTAAGAGAGAAAGAGTTATTAGCTAGCTATATATATATATATATTTTAAAAAGAGAGGACATGTATAAGGCAAACAAAACATTAATGAGAGAAGGGCGGGGGAAGTATTGAACTAAAACAAAAAACCATACACATAATGTATAAGTTGTTTTTTTTATCAAAATTACTATTATTAATCGACTGCAAATGGGATGAGGATTTCACTTAATCTTTGGCACTTGACTTTACACAATGTTTTTTTTTTACACAGTTTTTGTACATTGTGAAGCAAGTCAGATAAAATAAAACAAAATTGTTAATATTTCACGAATCCGCTTCAAATGTTTATTATAAAGTGTTATAATATAATAAAATGTACGAAGCGAACGGAAATGTTAAAAAAAATATATATATATTTTTGTTCCGAAGTTAAAATACGATTAATATCACAAAAAAAAAAGAAAAGAAAAGAAAAAATAATTAAAACAGCAAGTAAAACTTTTTCTGCACAAAACCACTTGATCGATTAATTAATATATAATAAAAGTAATAAATAATAATAATAATAATAGTAATAATTGTTGTTAATACACTATGAAAAAAAAAAAATCAAAAACAGAAAATAAGTAAATTTTTTTTTTTTTAGATCTATATATAATATACATTATAATAATTTGTCATTATTATTATTTTTATTATTATGTACAGGGGGGACTGAATAATAAAAAAATTAGTACCGACAGTTTTTGCCTTAACAAATTTAATATCTCTTAAGTTGTTCCATTGACTATAATTACATAAACAATTGTATTATTTTGAACTTTTCTAAACACATTTTCATAATTTCTTTTTTGCCAGTATAAAAAGTATAAAAAAATATGTGTTAATTTTTAAGGATACATTTGTTATATATATTTCTATAATGCCAAAAAAAAAAAATGTCTCGGTTGTGTATGAGAAAAATGTTCGATATACATAATTCGAAACACTATATTATAAACCTGCATTTCACTAAAAAAAAAAAAAAAATATTGAATATATAAATTTAAAAAAAAAAAATATATTGTAACACTATAATTAAATGATAAACAAAACTATTTATATAAATTCTATGTAACGCGTTAAAAGGCTCGTTTTATACATATATAAATACATATATATTTATGTATATATAATAATAAAGTGCCAATCATACAATAGGTAAAATACAATTTTGTAAAAAAAAAAATTCAATCTTAAATCGGTTCTAATTCTTTTTTTTTTTATATGTATATATTATCAATATTTCAACAGTCTTTAGAAAACGTACCCTTTTGAAGCTGGATATGTGTAAATCGCAGTGTGGACAGTTACTGGCACCGACCATTTTACTATTGAATTTGAATTTTGAACGATTTCTGTAAATCAAAAATAAAATAAAATTAATACAGTTTCGATCGGAGCGTGGAAAACATTTTTGACAAACAGGTTGTTTGGTGTAATGATTGCCATTATACATCAGACCACCTGTTTGTTGTCGGTTCAAAAATATATCCTAGTCAAAAAAGTATTTTAAAGATTACCCGAAAAGTATTTCTACTGTAAATAGATTCAATAGATTGACCAATTTAGCTGAGTTTTCGTGATTGGGAAATTAGTATTTAACTTGCAAAATATGAAAAATAAAACTCTTATTTAATTTTACTTCGCAGGAATGATATTTTAGATTGGCGGTTTTGAAACCAAACAAATTTTCAAAATACAATAATGATTGTTATCAGTTATGAAATGGTTTGATGTTTAATATGTTTTTACTTAACCTTTGTTTTAAAGTTTTAATCGAGGAAAAATCAAACTATAAAAAACAAGTTACAATATGACCGTGATACAATATGATTCCCCAACATACATAATGTATCTTTGTGCGATGGACGACGAACGTTATCTAATCAATATTGAAATATGACCATTTGATTAGTTAACAATCTACACTATTATGTACCTGTGCTTGACATTGAACAAAACCACAATACAGGAAACGTGTTTAATTTAATTATAATTTAGATACGAATAATTAGATTTATGTAACAATATTTGTATAAACATATATTATTATATATATATATATATATTTTTTTTTTTTACCAAAAACCACTTTTTTCAAAGGGAGAAAAAAACAATTTGTCTTTTCATAAGACATGATTTTGTTGGAAAATTTATAATACTCCAACGCACACAAATCTGGTCGTTTGTCTCGAATATAATCTAATAACTCAACCAGCTGGCAGAGTCGAGTGTCGTACAAAGAAAAATTGATTATCTCTCATTTTCACATTTATTACAAAAAAAAACTTTAAGACGGCATGTTTTAAAACTGTCACGGTTTTCAAATAACAACTATTTCTCGCTATATTATAAAATCTGAAACTTAACAATTATTGTGTCGTGTATTGTCTTCTAAATTTGAAAAATTAGCCCACAAAACTGCCCCACCCCCCCCCCAAAACTATTCTAGATTGTTCTTGTTTGATTTATTTTTCACTGTTTCTTATTTATAAATTTAATTTTAAGATCTGCCATCTTTATGAGAAAAGAGAAACCAAATCTAACGTGGGGATTCCGGACAACTTTTTCGACGCTTTTAGCCCGCAAGAGGACAATTAAAAAGAATTTATTGATTTTTCATAAAATTAATTATTATGTATAATTCAATTTGAAAACCGCTTCTTCTGTACATAGTCTCATTGCACCGCCAATAACCTGTATTTATTTTTGTAAGTTAATAATAATATTAGCTGCTGTTGGTGTATAAACAAGAAGAATAAAAAATGTTTTTTTTTTTAATGCTTGCTTTATTTATGTATTTATTTTCAAATTGGAACGGATTTCTAGTCGCTGCGAAAATCGTGGGCCGAAAAATCGCATATATACTATGTATAATAATACAAAAACAGAACACAATCGAACACGGATCGGTCGACGACCAGACGAATAATAACATTAATAATGATAATAAAAGCTTCTTTTTTTTTTTAATAATAAATGCCATTCGCGCGTTTACACAACAATGCTAAAATATAATAATGTAGTACAGGTTTTACATATTTTTATTATCATTTTTTATTAGTTATTTTTATTATCATGCGAATAAAAAAACCGAAGTGGGTTCAAACGATCCGGTGGCCGAGTGAAGGTTTGGGCTTTTTTTTTTATCGTAGAGGGGAGATGACAACAACAAAGTGGCAGAGACGAGTTCGGTTTAATCTTCACGTTCTATTTATAACCCCCCCTCCCTTCCCTTCCCCTCCCAGAGTGCGCCTCCTTCGGTGCGACAAGACGATTTGCCACACACACACACACACACGTGCACACTTACAATTAATGCACTGCACATGATATATACAGGGTGATGACTCGTCAAAGGCAGGACACGATATTAAAAAAAAAATAAATGTATATAGACGTTTTGGTTTTTTGGCTCTTTTAAAAATTAATAAAAGTGGTCTTGGGCTCTCCTCGTGCTTCTCGGTTACAAAATTGTAACGTTTACACGTTTAATAATAATATTTCCAGAGTAATAATGTGCTGAAAACGTTGCTTTTAGTCGATGACTAGTTAGTTTGGAATAATTATCACTTTTACGGTTATTAATTTTTCCAATACTACTACACTCCGCCTCACCTGCGGTTCTAAATTTGAAACTTTGACAACTTAAACAACTGATAGTGCTTTGGGGTTTTTTTTTGTGTAATGTTATAAATGTTAATATTGTCTAATATTATGGTAATAAAACGATGACTAAAACTAATCCACAAAGAAAAGCGATAAAATTGTAATTATCTTCCAAGATAACGAGTGTCTTGCGTCAAATGGATCACCCTGTACACGTTGTCCCGTGAACATTGTCCACTAAACGTACGTCTCGCAGATAAATTGAGATTAATAAGTAGAGTATTTTTTTTTGTTAGAGGCCTAGTGAGGTAATGTACACAGTTTTTGAGAATTTTTTTGTGTTAATATAATATACATTTTTTTGTACGCTGATTATTATGAACTTTTTGAGAATTTCCAAATTTTTTGTGACAATTATCAAACACCACAACACTCTCTCTCCTCTGGCGTCAATTGTAACAACATAAATAATTGTTGTTTTTAAACTACATTCATATAGTAATGAATTATAACAGGAAACAATTGAAAAAGTCTCAATAACTTTGCCCAAAACGAGTTTAGTCACGTATGGATGTTGTTGTATTATGAAAAAGATCTTTTTTCTTTTCTTTTTTAACGAACCAGGCAAATTTTGTATGGCCCATGTTATGTATATTATTTTCCAAATACTATTTTTTAAAGATTGAATTACATGTTACAAAGAATATTCCAATATCACGTTACCGCAATATTGTATTTTTGTACAATTACAGACGTGATTTGGGCACCGCTGACGCGGCGGAAAGTAAATATTTTAATATTAAACAGATTTGTCAGGGAAAACAAAAACACAAAAAATAGGACACTACATGTGTAAATTTCAAAAGTATATAATACATTTTAAACAATATTTGTCGGCCGATTCGATAGGGAAGTCAGAAATACAAAAATATAATAGTAGGTTACTTGTAAATTTAAAAATGAAGTTCCGTGTATTAAAATCGAAATAAATAATTTTAAAGGAATTTTTTTTTCGTACCAACAAATTGGAGTCTGCTGAATGTGCTTTTAGAATATCAATTATTGATAAGGACAAATGCACTGATAACAGATATGATGAAGAGATAAGACTGGTGAGAAACGGCTGACAAGATATAAACGCTATCAATTAAGTTTTAAACATATAAACTCAATATTGTGATTACTTTTCTTCGAAACTTATAATAAAATATGTTAACACAATATTGTTTTTGGCTAAGCGACTAAAAGTGACCAAATATCTTCTGGTCCCGACCGAATGGAAAACGGTAGTACACACTCCCAATATGAAAATATGAGTGTTTTTATGGAAAAATAATTCCCCCTCCCTATCCACTTCTAGCCGGGAAAGTCGCGAAAACCAATTCCTATTTCCGCCTACGCAAAACGATAAACTTGTGAAATTGAAAACTTTGTACCTACTTGCTGCTACACACGAGTAAAATTAAATACTTTTAATAGTATCCTATGTAATTATTTTTAGGTCGATCGATACTGACCACGATACTGCCCACAATGAGAAAAACAAATCGAATTCCTAGGAAGCAATAACAATAATTGAATTGGCACTCGACCACAAGCAATGGATATTTTACTACACACAACTAGGTTAACGCTTTAAAGCACATGTTTTGTTTTTCCGACTTACTATTTGTATAAGACTATGACGTATAGGAGCATAACAATTATTTCGAAACCCCCATTACAAAGAGCTTTTAGGCCAGCTGGACATTTCACAGTGTAACAATAAATGTTTCTATTGAAATCGCTTATATTTTACACAGCACTGCTAATATCTCGTTTTCTTATATTTTAACGAGTTTCGGTGTATAAAATTATTTCTTTATCGGTCGAAGAGATCCCCAGATAAGATCTATACGGGTTTTTTTTTAATAATTATCGGCCAAGCGACTAAAAGTGACCGAACAGAAAACACGGCGCACGCTCCCAATATTATATTATGAAAACATATAGTTTGAAATAATTAAAAAAATTACCCAACGGTTAAGCCCTGATTCCGTCGTGCCCATTTCGAAACCGTTCGTTTTCGTCTAAATACATAATTATTATTATCGTTATGATGAGCGTTTTCACTTGAGCTCATCTCGTGCGACGACGACAACACTGTCGGCTGTAAAATATTTTTTTATCATTTTAACGAGTATATCGTATTAAGATCCCAGGTCTTAAGGACGAGAGAGCAAGAGAGAGGATAGGGTCGCGAATGTGTTAAGACACGGTGCTGTACACGATATTTCCTAATCGAGACTTGCTGTAAATTGAATCAATGCGCCTTCGAGACGACGACCAGCTGCAGCTACGCTTGCTTAACTACACCAGTGGTTACCACTACTACTACCGCGGTATAGGATTTTACTAGCCGCTACAGCAATCGCACTGGAAATTGCAATAAAAATTGCATTACGGTCGACTACCGGAAACGGACGTGGTAACCCCTCGATCCGTTTTTCCCAAACGACATCGACTTGGGAAATTACATTATCGCTGTTATTATTATTATTATCAAATTAGGTATGTTGTCGGGTGTAATGTAATCCAATGTCCAACGCGCATAACAATATTTCGGGCCTCCGGTCGACACAATTTCATTGCATTCCATACACAAAGGTACGGTTCATACAGGATAACACAATAATAAAGGTCACAAGTGACCCTCGTGTGGTGTGTCGCCACACGTCCGTCCCTTGCATTAAAAAAACATAACACA